TCAGTCATCCTTCTACATTTGAGTCTAAAATTATAATTTACCTTTGGTTGTTAAATGAGGCTTGGGGAGTGGAAGAGAATTACTATATTTGATTCTCCTTTTCTGATCATAGAATCTATATCTTTCAGGAAGGACTGGCTCTGTGTGCTTTGGGATTTGGCATAATCTTATTACAGGGTATAGGAGGAGAGAAGATGCTTGGATGTGTCAGTTAGGTTTACCCGAAGCCAGAAGCAGGCTGTAGACAAGCATCTGGGCATAGCCACTGAGTTGGGAAGTGGTTCCAGGTAGCAGGGGATGGAGGTGGTTGGGGGTAGGACAGCTAAGGAAAGGGGCTGCTGGTGGCAAGAAGGTCTTAATCCTGCCTGGACCCTCTGAGGGATGTTGGTGCAGAGCTGAGGTATTTATCCACCATCCACCTCCTCATTAGCTGAGACACAGGAAACTGAACATTCAGAAAGGAGCAATGTGCAGCGCCCTCCAAGCAAGGCAGAGGGAATGTGGGTAGGATGCTGACAACCTCAGCTATAGGAAGTATAGCCAGAAACTAATTATTGTGGAAGTCCACTGACTGACTGTTTTGAGTCCAGTGGAAGACTGCACTGAATCCACGTACACCCAGGTTGTCATCAGAAGGCAGTAACGCAGAACTATGGAAACTGAGCACCTGTGGCATGAAGCATTTTATATATTCATTCGTAGTCCTTGACGCATCACCCATCAGAAAGAGTACGAAATGGCTTTTAATCTAATTAAGCCAATCATCAGACATCTCTGTAGACACACAGATTCCATTAGGATTTCTAAATAGATAGCCTGGATCCAGACTCACAACATTTTATATTTTACCTATTAATATTCCTTATCACTGGTTTAGAAGTTAACAAAATTTATTTTCAACACCGACTTGCTTTGATTATGACCAGAATTCATTGGGAAGCCTCAGAGCAACGTGCCTCCCTTTGCTTCCGTCGGGGGCTGCTCTGTTCCCGTCTGAGAACGTGACCAGGCAAGTCTCCTGGTTTCGTGGATGGAACTTTCACACTTTCCTCACTAGCTGTCCTCCATTTGTCTAAATAGACTTTGGACATTTTAACCACTTTGTAGGTAATATTTTGTCCTCATACCCAGTAATTTTGTATATTGATCAATAAACAGAAAGAAGAAGCAGTAACAACCCACAGAGTGCCCTACCCTGGTGCATGCTCAGTGCTTGTGGAAATGGAATTAGGGGGAGGAGGCAGCGGCAGAACTCAGTCTCTACCTTCTGTCTTACCTTCAGACTTCCCAAAGGTCTAGCCATCTGGTAGGACACAGAGGCCAAAAGATGGAGGAATTGAAGACAAGTGGAAAATGTATGTATTTGGGGGATGGGTAGCAAAAGATGAGTAGATGATGGAGTAGTTCTTTATATCAAGATGACAAAAGCTGATAATTAAAGTGCTATTTGCTGACAACAAATCCCGTTGTTTTTTCAGGTGGGTTCTGACATGAGAGAGGGAACAGGGTTATAGAGACATCATTGTACCATAAACCACATGTATTGAGTTCTCCACTTGTGAAGTTTATTTTTAAAATTTTAAAATATGAACATGTAGTTTTCATGTCATTAGTAGTTGCTTGGTGCCTTGAGTTCCAAGTGGCTCCATTTCTCTGGGCCAGCCTATTTCTTTAATAAACAAAAATATTACTTGCTTTCCTGTCCCATCGTTGAACTCAATATTTTCCATCCCCCTAGAATTGATTCTCCTGCCCCTGGCTCCATGTTTAGAACACTGTTCCTGCTCTTTCAACAGTTTACTTAAGTCCAAAATTTGAATTCACAGTTGCAAAGATGTGGAATCAACCTAAATGCCCATCTGTTCATGAGTGGATTAGCAAAATGTGGTATATGTATACCATGGAATACTACTCAGCCATGAAGAAGGATGACTTAATACCTTTTGCAACAATCTGGATGGACCTGGAGGCCATTATCCTAAGTGAAGTATCTCAAGAATGGAAAAACAAACACCACATATACTCACTATTAAATGGGAACTAACTGATGAGCACACATGTACACAGGGCCGAGTGAAACTCAATGGAAATCAAGCAGGGGAGAGTGGGGAGGATGAGATGAGTGAAAGCTTACCTAACAGGTACAATGAACACTATCTGGGTGATGGGGACACTTATAACCATGACTCAAGCATTTTAAAAGCAACCCATGTAACTAAAAAGATTTGTACCCCTGTAATATTTTGAAATAAAAATAAATAAATAGGAAAAAACAAAACAAATAAACAAAAAAACCCACAAAATTTAAACTCATCTCCTCACCTTTACACTAACATGGTACTGTTGTATTATTAGATCATTAGAGAAATTTGGGGAATAAAAGAAGGGAGTTAGAGCTCAGAATAGGAATCAAACCAAGTGCTCACCAACCACTTCCCAACCGGGGAAACTCCGAACATCTTGAGCACCCCCTGCCGATACAGAGCTGGGCTCTCTCCTCCTGCAAGAGGTTTTCACTCCTGTGCTCCATTCCCGTGGCCCACACCCAGGGTGTGATTGTCTATCAGAGAGAAAACCCAAAGCACCTACAACTTTATGTTGCAGAACAGTTAAGTTCCCCTTTGTGTGAACATCATCAATCCAGAATTTGCTTTAGTCAATTAATTGGTATATTTAGTCCATTAACATTTAATGTAATTCCTGACACAATGGGTTAGTAGCTGCCATTTTATGATTTGTTTACCATTTGTCCCACCTGTCTTAAGTTTTCTTTGTCTCTTCTTTATTGACTTATTTTGGATTAGTTAAGGTTTCTTCCCCATTTTTACTCTGTTAGCTTGTTAATCATACATTCCTTCTTTCCTTTAGTTGCTATTGTGGAAATTGCAAACATTCTTGATTTATTGCAATCTAATATAAATTGCTATCTTTGCTACTTCGCACATGATTCTAGGACCTCAGAGTACTTTAACTCCATTCACCTTCATTTGTTAACCTTTTGTGTTGACATCGTTGTGCATTTCCTTTCTGTTATATTTTAGGTTACACAGGACACCCTCATTATTTTGTATAATCAATATAAATTTATATTTTCCCATATTTATATGTGGACATCTAATTTATTAAAAGCTTTAGATTTCTCCATTTCATGTCTTCATTCAAATTGAAACATCAAAGGAAATTTAATAAAAAGTAAAAGGATAATTATTAAATAAAAATCATTTTCTTAATTTCTTACATACCAACAAAACTGTTTGATGTGTCAGTATTAGCTCTTGTAACAAGTGTGAGCATTCCTGCCCTCCACCTCACTGCCTCCTTTAGCCTCTACATCAAGAGGGTTGGTAATACTATAATTAGATAGGCTATTGTTTTGCTTTAGTTGGTTCACATGAATAGAGCTCCTGGGAGCGGGTGGCCTGTAGCTAGTGCTCCTCAGCTCCAGGTGTCCTTCTGTTTTCCAGAGTGCCAGGCATTCGGCTTCTTCCAAACACCAGCCTGTCCTTCTAGCCTCTTCCGACAGCAAGTGCACTGTGTGTTGAAACCCTGCTGGATTATGAACGATGTGATGTCAGGGACCCTACCTTATTCTTTTTTGCATCTATTATTAGTGCTTATCAAAGGGCCTGGCATATATATACTAGGCAAAGATATAGGGATCTTTTCTGGATAGGTGAGTGAATGAATGAATGAATGAACAAATGATCCACACTCAGTTATTCCAGCTCATGCAGAAACACTCTTCCCAGGCACTGACGTCCCCCCATAGGCACACACTGGGTCTCCTACTGACTTTGCACCTGTCTCTCCCTGGAGCAGGGAAAGGGTAGGGGTCATCTGTCTTCATCAAGAGCACCCCCTGCCTCCCCCGGCTCTCCAAGTGGAAGTTCCCACCAGCCACCAAAGTGATGTGTGCTGAGTGCGTGCCCAAGCAATGGACACCTGGCCCTGTGAACCTGGAAGTAAATCCTCACTTCCCTTCCACCCCTACTCTCTCCCTAGTTTGTCCAAAAAGAAGAAGAAAGAAGAAGAGGAGGAAGAAGAAAAATAAAAAGAGCAAGAGACAAAGTGGTAGATAAAGTGTTTTATTGAACATATATTTGTTCACCAACAGTGAATGCCAGTTGCTAAACTCCACAATACCTAAAAAATGTGATGTCTTCTACAATACATTAACATTTAAAATACTCTAGGATGAATATAAATTTTCAGTGATTGCCATTCTGTGATATTTTTCCTCAAAGAAACATTGTGTATTTTCCTTAAAGAGAATGGAAAAATGCCACTCTAACCAAATAAGTTTATATTAAAGTGAGTATAACATTGTATGCTAATATTTATTGTTTACTGGATTTACTGAATTTATAGACAAAATTTATACACACAAATCTCATGTGTTATCATTTTTTGGCATTCCATCTGCAGTTTCTTACAGATGACATTTGACAGAAGCTAACATTTCTGACTTCATTTCTATAATAGTTTGGAATCACTAAAGGGGATTGGGTGTTCATCACAGAGGAAATGAAATATGTGAAAATATTTGACTCTCTTATTTAGGAAATGTGGAATGTTAGATGACTTTCTAAAGTGCAATAAAGCTTGTACTTTATCTCTGAAATGAATAAGCAGGCGAAAATGAGTATTTTCTATCTTGGACTGACCACTGGTTTTGGGAACTTTAATACTATTTCTGCCTCACTACTTGAAAATCAAAATAGATAAATAATATCCTTGGGGAAATAACTCTGCCTTCCTTTATTCTCTATGCTGAAGAACACATACGTAGAACTCAATAAATAATATATAATATAATAACACAGTCTGACCTTAGGAAATCTGATTTTTTATCCCAATGTGTAGTTCTAGAATCTGTATTTTAACTTGTCAGGAAGAATCCCCAAATTGGCCGCACTCTAAATCAGTGAAGATTGCAGATGTTACGTGGCTGCCACAGTTGTTTGAGGGACCTTTCTTCTTCCTTCACGGTCTTGCCGTAGGAGCGGCTGCTGCTGTCCTTGCTGCCGGCTCACATAGCCATGGAGATGAAGGCCGAGATCATCCAACGGCTGCAGGGCCCCAAGGCGGGCCAGATGGAAAACACAAACAACTTTCACAACCTGTACGTCAAACGACACACCAACGTCAGGTACGCTGCTCTGCTTGCGCTCCTCAGCAAGCCCGGGGGTCCATGGGCTGGGCTGGGGGCGATGTTCACGGGGATCCCACATCTCTCAGCATCCTCTGTCCTGTGCAAGGGCGGATCCTTGGCAGGGAGAATAATCACCAGTGTCCTCCCTCTCCACTCACCTGCTGCTGCCTCTGGGGCCCTCACGTTGAGATAAACGTATGATCCTCTTTGCTGTGTGTGTTGAGCTGTGCTTCACCGTCCTGCCTCCATGGCTAGATGTCAGTCACAGGGAAGAGAGAGGTGGACAGTGGGGTCCTTATTCTGGAAACCCCATGGTCACACAGCAGTCAGTTGGAGGAAGGGTCTGTGGACTTTCTAGGCACCAGGACTGATTCCTCAGAAGGGACTTTGCAGGAGCACATGAAGCCAACACATGCCAGGAAAGCTGGATGCTCTGCCATCCATCCGGAATGATGGCTGTATGGGGTCTGGCCAACCAGTGATCAAAGTCATGGGGGCTGATGTGCACCTCAATTCTAATGAAAGGTACTGCTTTTCTGAGACTGGCACAGTCAGATCTGTTTCCCAGGGCGCCATTCCAGGAGTCACAGTACCTAGAAAACTAACGTGTTTTCATCATGGGACTGTGGCCAGGAAGACGAGCAGTGTGGGGCCTTCATCTCTCCTGAGCTCTAAAGAGGAGCTGTGAGGGGCCTTCATGTCTGGCTGGAGAGGGTGCTCCCTCCCACACCCCCAGCCGTGCCTTCTAGCCATACAGAAACGGGCCCATCCACGCCATCACTGATCTCCACGCCCATCCATCCATTCCTGGCACCACTTCTTGTGGGGCTTGTTCTTTCATCCCCTCATTATACTGCTGTGGTGCTTTCTCTCCAGCTGGGTGATTTCCCTAAGTAACCTGTGCATGGCTCTGACCTCATTTGTTATGTTTTCATGACGTTAGTGTAGTTATTAGACAAGGTGCTTGCTCTATAGTTCAGTAACAACCACATCAATTAAACTTGGTTGAGCATCTGCTCAAATTGGGCTGCAGCCCGTTTGCCCCAAGTCTAGACTCTCCAGGGTGTGTGGCTACTTCCTGGTCCAGCGCTTGAGGTCAAGCTTTTCTGAAGCTCGTCAATTAGAAACTAATTTAACTGAAACTTACATACATTGCTAGACAAATCCCACTTGACACCAGATCTTAGAAGCTACCGATATATATAGCCCAAGCACACACAGATGTCAATGTGCAATGAAAGACCCATATCAGGAAGGAGATAACAGGAAAAACAGTTGCATATTGGGTAGGAAATAAGGAAGCACCATTGGATATGTGATAGAAAAAGACTAAATATATTTAAAGAAAGTTCACACATGTTCAGGAGTAAAATTATTTAAAACACTGGCCTGCCTTCAGGTTTGTAAGTGTTTTGCTATAAAATTAAAGAAGAAAAGTTCCTAGTATCGGACTAGGTGTGTTATACTAGTCATTGCTTTTCCATTTAGCAATGCCCGTCCCATCTCAGGAAATGTTTTTCAGTCACTTATTGACCACACAGCTGGGCTTGGCCCTGCTGGCCAAGAATTCTCCTGTCTCTTGGTCTCGTGACAGTGTATTTTTTTTTGTTTTCTTCCAACAGTCTCCTTTGCTGTTTTCTCTTCCCTAAGTCTGGCCCCTCCTGTCAGTGAGAGTGTTTTCAGGGCTCTCTCCTGGCTGCTCTCTGTTCTCCCCAGCCCTCTTCCGGGACTTTAATTCCCATCTACATATGCTGTCAACTGAAATTAAGGCTGTTGAGACAGGAATAATTCAATAAAAATTTATTGGAAGCCGAATGTGAAGATACCGACCTGGGAAGGCACAGCAACAAAGTAGGGCATGTTCCGGAGTCTGCTGCAAGCTGGAAGGCTTTTATAGGAACGGTTAGGAGAAGGGAGAAAGACTCCTTATGTTGCCACTGTTCTCTTTCATAGGAGGGTACCAAACAGAGGTTATAGTCATTGGCTACAGAGTACAACATACAGGCTAAAATGATGTATATATGTGACAGTCAGTAAAGCTTCATGATTCGGAAACAAATTGGTGTCCTTTTCAGTCTCAGTGGGTTAAGTATTAACCAGTACATCAACAGTTTGAGAAATTCCCAGAAGGATTCTTTACTCAGGAACAGGATGTAAGCAGTGAATCATAGGACCTCCCCAACCTGGGTTACTTTGGAAGCCTGCCAAATGTGAGCCGTGGGCTGTCCATGCCAACACACAGAGCTCAGCCATAGCTTTCCAACCTCGTCTACCCGTGGGTCTACCCGTGGTGTCTACCCGTGGGTAGACACCACCATCAAGCACAGCAACAACCAAAGCTGAACTAGTCATCTTCCCCTGTGAGCTTGTTTGATTTGGGCAAAGCTGGATTTCTTAGCCCCATTGCTCAGCTAGAAACTGGGTCTTCATTTTCCGTGCTTTCCTCTTCTAGGGAACCCCCACCCCCAACATCCAAGTAGTAACTAGGTCTTGTTCATTCTCCTTTCTGTCTCCCACATTTGCTCACTTCTGTTCATTTCCATCAATTATAGGCCTTCCACAGGGCTCTCCTGAATTCCTGGGATGTGGTTCTAACCTATCTGCTTCCAGGTTGCTGTGGCTGGAGTGGTCTTTCTACAGTGGTGGTCTGGTCGGATCTAGGTTGAGTTTCCTTCCTATGTGGTCCCGCACTGCACTGTGCTTTCTCTGCCATAACCCTTTGCACACTGCATCATAATTGCCCGCTTACTTTTTGAATCTTTCTACTGCCAAATAACCTCTGGACCAGCTTAAGATATCTACAGGAAGCTGCTCCTTTGCCTACTACAAGTTTTGACCACAGGAAGTGCTGTGGATGCTGTGAACAGGAAGGAAGTGGAGTCAGCTGCCCATCCACACATTCTACCTCCCAGCAGGGTTTTGGATCAGGGACTCTTTCTCCTAGTGAGCAGAGTTAATTCTTCCTCTTGAACAGTGGTTCAGCATCTGTGATCCCTGCCTCTATAAAGAAGCATGGAAGAAGTAGGGATGGTTTTAGGGCATCATCTGAACAGAATGGACAGCACAGCTACACCAGCAGTCCTGACTTTCCTGAACCCATCAGAGGTCCCCCACAATACCTGTCCATCAGCAGAAGAGCAAGTCTTTCCCCCCTTGAGGTGCAGACACAAGCCCTGTGCTTAGCACAGGGGCAGAGTGTGGCCAGTAGCAGAGCTCCTGCCCTGATCTGGCTGGGACCCACCTGAATGGTGCCATGATATTTTTTTAATTGTGGCAAAATATACATAACATTTACAATTTTAACCATTTGTAAGTGTACAGTTGAGTTGGATTATGTACATTTACATTGTTCTGCAACCATCACTACCATCCATCTCCAAAATTTTTTCTTCATCCCAAATGGAAACTCCGTACCCATCATACAACACCTGCACCTCCCCCATCCCCCAGCAACCACCATTCTACTCACTGTTCTCTCTGGTCGAGCACTCTAGGTACCGCACATATGTAGAATCATACCCTTTGTGCCTGGCTTATTTCACTTAGCATGTCTTCATGAGTAGCAGCATAGGTCAGAATTTTACTTCTTTTAAAGGCTTACTAATATGTTATTGTATATATATGCCACGTTTTGTTTATTTATTCTTTTGGAGATGGACATTTGGTTTGTTTCCATCTTTTGACTGTTGTGATTAATGCAGCTACGAACCTTTGAATACAAATATCTATTCGAGTCCCTGGTTTCAGTTCTTTTGGATGTATTCCCAGAAGTGGAATTGCTGAGTCATGGTATTCTGTCTAATTTTTTGAGGACAAACCATGCTGTTTTCCATCGTGGCTGAAACGTATTATCTTCCCACCAGCAATGCACAAGGGTTTCAATTTCTCTGCATCCTCGCCAAAAACTATTATTTTCTGTATTTTTTTAAATAATAGCTATCCTAATGGCTATTATCCCACTTCTACTAATGGCTAATTCACCCCTACTAATGGCTGTGAAATGTAGTTATTTTTGTTTCATGGTACATTTTAAGCCATCCCACATTCACTATCTGAATCTCAAACCACCGGCAGGAATTCGGGCTTCATTATAAAGCCTTGACACGAAGCAGAAACAAGTTATTATGTAGGAAAAATGGTAATGCAAACAAGTTTTACGGATGCTCCCCATGTTAAACACATACAGAGCTGTAAGAAATCTCACACCTCTCTCGTCTGCACATCCCAGGAAGGGAAGCTACCCTGTCATTTCCTAAGAGGGACTTTCCTGGACTCCTCACCATCTAATCCACTGCTACTGTTCGCTCTCATAGCGTTCTCTTGTTTTCCTTTATAGCACTTTTTTTTATAATTTGTAATTGGACATTTGTTGGTGTCCTTATTTGTTTAATGCGTCTTCCCAGCTAAATTCTGAGCTTTGGGAAGACACACTGTGTCTGCTTCATCCTTGCGGATAGTAAGTACTCCAGACTCATGTGTTAAGTAGTCTTGATTTTTAAGGAAGATTATTATTCCATTCTTTTTCTTTGGCTCGATATAAACAGGATCCCATTTTTATTATTTTGCTGCTTCACTCCCAGTCTTAACTACAAAAATGTAACACCAAAAAATGTTTAAATGGGCAAATTTAGCAAAATGTTTATGTATTCCCTATCCAAGAAAATGACATTCTTCTTATGAAAATACAAATAAAGCGTAAAAAAATTACACTATTTTAATGGAAATTATCATTCTTTCTTAACAAATATAAACTAGAAAACCCTGTCTCCTTGCCGCTTTGGTTCCCACAGCATCTTATACGCTGACATTGTTGGCTTCACCCGGCTGGCGAGTGACTGCTCCCCAGGAGAACTTGTCCACATGCTGAATGAACTCTTTGGCAAGTTTGATCAGATTGCAAAGGTGAGTATTATAGATTCTCTTCCGCTTTGAAGATAAATAAAATCTTAGCCTAGTTTTTCTCCCTCTCCTTATCATTATTGGACTTTTTCATAAAAGCATCCTTTAGGAATGTCGTTTCTAAAATGTGCTGGATTTATCTGCCATTGAGCCTTGATGAGCTTTAAAAACCTGCATCAGGGATGAAAAATGCCATAGCATATAATTATGTGTGCATGGGTTTTTAAAACTTCTGCTCATGTATAATTCAGCACACATATAATAAATACACTGAAGACGAGGAGATTCAATTTGCAAATCCCTCTGCACTGTGCTATTTTAAGGTGCTCTTTTAGGCATCTCATGTCAAGGAGTTGGTAAGATCATTTCCACTCTCTGGTGGTAACTTCTGTATTCAAATCGCTAAGCAGGACTCTGGAAGAGCCCCTGAAATAGGATGCCTGTCTTCCGTGCAAGCCTTTTTCCTACTACTGTCTCATTTTTGTCCTTTGATTCTTGTGCCACTTAAACAGAAATGTAAAGTCATTGGTTGCCATTAATATGCCCATTTATGGGAAATTTCACGAATAGGAAATGGTGCCATGCCACCTAAAACCCTACTTGACCTTACTTACTAGAACTTCCGCAGTTGCTGGTGGGAATTTTGATGAAAAAAAGAATTTCTTCCTTGCCGGCTCTTTACTTCTCATTAAACATTTTTGGTCAACCTAATTCTGTCTTTGCACTGTTCCCGAAAAAAAAAAAAAAAAAAAAAAAACTTCATTTTGCCTATTAGTATGAGTTATTTATATATGGAAGACTTGGTCCTAAATTTGGTTCACTGTGTGATCTTAGTTCACTTTTAAACAATACGGAACACTCCAGCCAAGCTTCTTAGGGAGAAACCTGGCCTGCAGGTGTTAGCATCATCATTCTTGGGCCCGGCTCCCCAAGTGTGTTGCCTTGTTTTGTTCAGATGACCAGGACAGCTCTCAGTGGGGATGTTAAAAAATCAGCGGGAGTATAATTCTGCTTCTTTCTTTTACCAAACCAAAGGAAGGGAATGATTTTTATGTGTGCTCATTTACACAAAAAGAAAAGTTGAAACTTAAATAGTGTCTTAACGATTTGACTTAATGAAAGGTCATTTTTGCTGGCCTACCTGGTCAGGTTAGGAAGAAACATTTCAATCCTGGATGGTGGCAGACAGCATAACTCCAGTGTTCACATGACATTCTCTTCTCTATGTGCATGCTTCAATGTCCCAATTCCCTCTTTTTATATGAACAGCAGTCATATTGGATAAGGGCTGACCCTATCCAGTTTGACTTCATCTTAACTAATTACATGTGCAACAATCCCATTGCCAAATAAGATCACATTCACAGCACTGACTTCAACATCTGAATTTGGAAGGACACAATTTATTATGCAGAACAAAGGTATTCACTATGACTTCCTCTAACCATTGGAACAAAGGAATGTCCAGGCAATATCTGAGTCCAGCGTAGGCTGACTTGGTTCATCCATCATTGATCAAATGGATAACGTGCTTTGGACATTAGTTCATGGGTCATAGTTAAATAACGTGGAGTAGACAGCACTATAACTAAACAGCCCAGTGCACTGAGTGAATACTATCTAAAGCACGTCACTTTAAGCTAAGGAACTCAAAATCATTGCCGTTCACTGTTACTAACTCTCGTGTTTTCTACATTCAGAATATCTATTTAGGAGTATGGGAAGGAAGCCTGATCAATAAGTACTTGTTTGCCTTTTTCTTATTTATGATATTATTATCAGGAATTACATCTATGGTGCTATAGATTTGTATGAAAGCTCTGGCTTGTGCATTATCAGGGAGGGACAGGGAGGGAAAGAAATATGCAAAATCTTCAGCAAGACTAACCCATGCTTAAGAAGAAGAAGATGTGTTTATTTTATTACTTCAGATTTGTTCAGTTTATACATAAGCTTGTGTTAGTGTTAGAGGAAAAAAATCTGTATTTGGCACATCTTCAGTTTTGTTTCTGTTTTATTTTGCTGGTTGAAAGTTTAGAAATGGATATAGGATTGATGCATATGAATACAGTTAATCTAAATATTATAATATAAATACAACCCAGGCAAGAAAAATAATGAGTTAGTCAAACTCTACAGTAAAAAGTTGAACCTGAGATCAGAATTAAGTTTTGAATTACTTGGCAATGCTGTTAGATTGTGGAGATGTTTATCAGAAGCTACATGTCTGCAGCTAAGAATCTGCCTCAGCTTTAAAATAAATGAAAAAAACCATAGCACAGTAGGGAATAACATAGGATTCTAATTCAAATTGAGTTCTGGTCATTATTTCCTACTCTGAATGACTCTGCTCTGCATAGAACGTTTCATTTTGCCGTCAGTGTTTGGAGATGTTTGTACTAAAGAGACTGATCCCATGTTCGTCCTCTCCTTGCATTGAATGTAAATCATTCCAGAGCATTCTCTGCTCTCCCATTTCTTCCTCTTCCCTTACTCTTCTTGCTTTGTAAATGGGCATGTGGGGGAGGGGAGCCCATTCTGATGGGTCACGAAGGGAAGCCAACTGGCTGTCATTTCTCTGTCCTCACAAGCCCCCGTGGCTGGAACGGTGTCAGTAGAACCAGCACTTCATGATGTGTGTTAAATCCGGATCATTATGCGAGGGCTTAACACAATTGAAATTCTGTGATTTCTTCTTCCAGGAGAACGAATGCATGAGAATTAAAATTTTAGGAGACTGCTACTACTGTGTGTCGGGACTCCCTATATCTCTCCCCAACCATGCCAAAAACTGTGTGAAAATGGGACTGGATATGTGTGAAGCCATAAAGTAAGTGAACTGCTTACAAGGTTGTTTTTTTTTTTTTTTAACTGTTTAACAATTTAGAGTTTTAATTCTCACCTGTTACTATTTCTGTTTTTCTGTCGACTGACACTAGATACGTTATTGTACATTTACATAGAATTGTGCAGAAATCCATTTTCTGGCATGTGAGTAAAACTTCTGTAAGTGTTTAGTGTTGTTATCATGGGCCTTAGATGACAGCAAAACGGAATTGGAAATCTATGGAAAGAGACAGTTTTGTTTGTTTCAAAGGTGATTTTTTTTTTTAAAGAATTTTAATGTCTTTGATTTTAAGAAAAAAAGTAATATGACATGTCTCTGATCATAACATCTCTCTGATTTCTGACAAACGATATGGCCATATAGGTTGTAAGGGACAAATTAGCATTTCCCACCAGACTGCAATCCAGAATTACTTCATCTAGTCAAAAATGCCCTGCTCTGTGAATTTAGTTTCAATTTACGTCCGTAATGTATGTTTTCTGCATTGTATCTGTAAATTTTCCATTGCGATTCTAGAGAAGATTTGCTTACATAGAATAACGTTATTAGCATTGACAAGGACAGAGTAAAAGCATAGGGTGAAAGGTAACTTTTATTCCCAGTACCACAGTAGTATTACCAGCACCTTCTTTAGTAATGTCCTTAGTAGAAACCAAAATATTCTCACAATTGATAAAACCTTTTGTTTGCTGATTGTGTAGTTGAAAGATTTTACTTCATTTTGCCTTGTCCTGTACAGGTTTTTTTAATCTAAAAAAGGTTCAAATTATGTGCTTGATGTTCTAATTCCTTGTCTCAGGGTTGGAGTGAATAGGGCGTTCAGTGAGAAAGCAACAAGTCCACTTGTCACTTGTTTGCTCCCCGTGTATGTTGGTCACTTGCTGAAGTGACTAAAAGGTTGATCGGTGGCTTTCCCAGTGCCGTCCAGGGAAAAGTGTGGCGCCCTCTGCTCCCTGCCCCCGCAGCCTCAGCCGATGAGAGCGAGACACTTGTGTGTTCCAGATTCGCTGGCTCAGTACAGATTATTGCAGGCTGCTGTCGAGCAGATCAGGAACGGGAGGGAAATAAAGTGACATTGCTGAGAGTCGAGATGGGAAGAGGAGTCAGTGCGAACTTTGTTTCCCGACACAAGATGCACTGTCTGGGGAATAACCACGTTCTACTTACTTCTTCCCATAAGGAAGTCATTTGTCTTCTCTGATACATGAAAAATAGTTTTTTTCACTTTTTCTCAAAAGTAAGTAACTACTCTTAACTCTGTGGGTCTAGATGTAAGTGAATCCAGTCAGTGGAATGATAGTTTTTTTCGAATGTATAACCGGCCCCCGGAGGCGACCTCAGTGTTGGTTTTGAGTCCGAGGCGAAGTGGGTTCTGTTGGAGGAAAGCATTTTTCTTGATTTCCTGTTAACATAGATGTGGGAAAGATTTTTTATGAACAGCAAAATTATGTGCATTAATAACATGTCGGGTTAACCAATTTACCCTTTCATTGAAGCTTAATTTCTACTTTTTAAAACTGGTTTCCAGTTCCATCATGTTAAATTACCCCAATGTGTTGAAGAACTTTTAGGAGAAAGAATCTTCACATCGCATTCACCTGCATGTCACCAGTTCATCAGAAATATTGGTTTTTTCTATTATATATTTCACTGTGGTGAAATATGTGGACCATTGATATTACACTTTGAACCATTTTATGTGTACAGTTCCGTGACATTAAGTACATTCCAAATGCTGTGAAACCAGCCCCTACCTACTTCCAGGACCTCTGCCTCACCCCATATAGAAACTCGGTGCCATTAAGCAAGGGCTCCCCAGTCCCCTTCTCCGGCCCCAGTGATCTCCGTTCTACTTTCCGTCTCTGTAAATGTGCATATCCTGGATATTTGATCATATAATATGTGTCCCTTGTGTTTGGCTCCTTTCACTTCGCCTAACGTTCTCCAGGCTCATCCACATTGTGGCACATGTCAGTACCTCACTCCTTTTTATGACAGCGTAATATTCCACTGTGTATGCACCACTATCCTTTCATCCCTGATGCCTTGGTAATGTCACACGTGTCCGGAATCTCAGTGAAGTTAGCAGGTTTGAGGAAAGTCTTCCCAACTCTTGCTTATCCCTAACCTTAACCTTCCAATCAGGCAAGGGCAATGTGTCCCAGTGACCTGCCACCCGCTGGTCAGGGGATTCCAGTTCTTCCTGGGTTTCTCTCAGGTGTGGCTGACAAGGTGATCAGTACACGGTTGCTTTGTTACAATAAAGGCAGCGAGAGAGACGGCATCTCAGCAAGTTCGGGAATTCTTTCTCCGTTCTCATTCTCTCTCATACGCGAGGGCATGCTTTTGTATTCCCATTTATTGAGCCAGAGGTGGGGGTGACCGCCGTGCTGGAATTTTAACTTTTTAAGCTGGTGAGGGGAAAGCCACACTTGGCTCTTAGGTTCTTTCTCGAGCGTCTCAGGTTTCAGGGGAACCAGCAACTTGGGTCCCAGGCGTCTGCCCGTGTTTCTCCGTCTGTTTGCACAGCCGCACTTCGCAGGGCCTCGCCCCCCGCTAGCCACGGCGCTGCTGCCGAAGCAGTTCAGTCGCAGTGCTGAATGTTCCCAATGCTTAGAAAGCCTTTACTTTTTTCCTATCATGGAAACATAAATTGTTTTTAACCGAGGAAGTGATATTCAGCACCTTGATTTTATAAGTGATTATGGCTTCTAGAGAACTGCTGTTGAAAGCTTTAAACTTGTATAAAGTGTCACGGTTGCATCAGGTCCTGACCCCACTGATGGGTAAGCACATCCTTGGACAAGGTCTGCGTCCTCATGGCTGACTGTGCTGAGTGCAGAGGTGGACACAGACAGGGAGTGCGAGCTGTCCTTGGGGCACTTGGGGGACAGGGGCAGGGCTGCCTAGACCAGCCCAGTGGGGAGAGACCAGAAGGCCTTCCGGGATGAGGCTGAGCATGAGCAGGGCAGGAAGAACAATACCAGCTGGCTAGTGGCACTCACACCTGGCAGGGAGGGAGGCTCGGGGCGTGGGCAGCAGGGAGAGGAACCGTCGTAGGTGAAGGTCGGGAGGTGAGGACTGCCTGGCGCTGGCCCAGCCACAGCCCTCCATGGGGATGAAAGCCTCTGGCTTTCCCTCCACATTGTCCCTTGGGGTGATTCTCTCCATGCAACTAGGGACGGCTTCCTGAATGCTTTGTTACAATAATATTTGAATTGATAAATGGATTTAGCTGGCAGAAATAAATAAGCATTGCCAAGCATTTCCATTTTCCCTTCACTGAAGTTCTTCATTTGTCTGTGTTGATGTGTTGGCAGGAGGGTCCTAAAGTATTTTAAAAACAAGTTTTTAAAAAATTAGTTTCTTTTACATGATACCTATGCATCACTAAAGCTTTTTAAAACATGATTTTTTCTTTCTTTTATAAAAGAATGGGAACAACTGAAAAGCTTTAATTTCATGATTATTTTTTAAAAAATTCTTATTCAGGTTAAAGTCATCATTAAACTCACAAATAAGCTGTATTGTTCTCTTATTAGCAAAATACATTCATTGGGGCCATACATTGAGCAAAGCTCTCGAATTGCACATGGCCTCCAAGACCATTCCTGACATTTCCAAAGTGATGTCACATGATTCTGATATGAAAATGCAGAGCAGGTGCCAGCCCATAATAGGTGCTTGATACATATTACTTGAAAGAGTAAAAACTACAGCCAAAACACCCTGTCATCGCCATGGTCTGGACTGATGTGGCTTCAATAGTGAGAGCACTGGAGATTTGAGTCTAATCTGGAGAAACCAGGAGGAAAAGCCCCCTCTCTTGGCTCAGAGCAGAGATCTGGAATTCTGAATAATCAATGCCAGGACCCTGACCAAGAGTTAAAGGAAGAAGAGGATATTACTGATCATGACATCACTTCCTTCATCTTTAGGAAAGTAAGGGATGCTACCGGCGTTGACATCAACATGCGCGTGGGCGTGCACTCTGGGAATGTCCTGTGTGGCGTGATTGGTCTGCAGAAGTGGCAGTACGACGTGTGGTCACATGACGTTACCTTGGCTAACCACATGGAAGCTGGAGGGGTCCCTGGGTAAGGTCGAACACTGGATTTCTCTCTTCCCACTGGCAGCGTGGTTAGGAATGCCGAGTCATTGGGCTAATAACTGCCTGCTCAGTTTCTGATGACTTCCGTTGCCTCTTTAGGTATCATGTTCCTCATGCACAGTGGCCTCGTTAATCACATAAGTCCCTGTACCACTACCCCTATGATCCATGGTCAAAGACTGTGGACATCAGATACTAAATTATATACTTTTACTTATTTGCAAATTTATTAATTAGAGACCTGAGTTAAAGATGTTTTACAGTGCAGTCCAGATAGGGCACCTCTCTAGTACTGCTGACCTCTAAAACCTGTATATTAAAATGAACGACTGTAGCATCCACCTCTGGGTAGAAGAACATATTTCAGACAAGAGAATCCTAATGCAAGGGCTATAATTTGGAGGAGCATAAAAGCAAACATTGAGAAAGAAAATCCATGCTTTTTACAAATCAGCATGCTTCCAAAAATGCCCTTGACATGTGTTTCAAAAGATACCCTCGCACAAAAAAATTCCATATTGTCAAGTTTTTGTTTGCTATAATTTGCCACACCCACCATGCAGGTTTCCGTGACTGCAGATGAGCTCCAGACATTAGCAGCTCATGGTGTCCAGGAGTGTCTTTCCAAACTGGTGGTCAGAGGAATAAAAACTTAAATTACAGTCAGGTTTCTCAAGGACATGTAGGCTTTCCTTCATGGGGGAGAAATTATTTCTGAAATCACAAACAAATAGAACATCTTTTTTCACGTATCCTTTTATATCTTGACTGTGGTTTAAAATGGAATTTCAGACGTGTCCACATTTCTTCTGTCACCCTGGAGCACTTGAACGGGGCCTACAAAGTGGAGGAAGGAGATGGTGACGTCAGGGACCCCTACCTAAAGCAGCACCTGGTGAAGACCTACTTCGTGATCAACCCCAAGGTCAGTGCCGTTGGGAAGAGTCTATGATCAGCCTGTTGCTTCTGTGATTAAAAAGGAGGAGGAAGAGCGAATTATTGGCTGACTGTGAAACAAGTGAAAACAAGTGTTTTCAGTCAATACTCAGTATAATTCTTTGCTAGTCTTTAAATGCACATGGTGGTTTAATTACGGAAGACATTTTGTAATAACGAATTCAAATACGTATTAAACAAGCAGTTGCAATGCATTGCTTGTCTGCATGACGAGGGTGTCGATGCAGGTTGCTAGTTGGGCTGTTAGTCCCTGTATATGACAGTGGATACGGCTTCCGAAAGGCTCTCAGTGGGCACAACCTTGATACCTGTCAGTTGGGAAATTAAACGAAGAGAAAAGATTTTTGCTCCGGCCTTCAGAAGATAAAAAATCTAATGAAATAAAATAGGATGCACATATAAGAAAAAGGAAAAGAAGAAATCTTTTAAAGACTAACAAATATCACGTAGACATGTGTGGAGTGTGTGTGTGCACAGATGCACGCACCTTCCGTGCGATAAAAACCCCCATACCCGGAAGATGATCCGACCCAGACGCACGCTGAGGAGCTGTTTCTTATTTTGTTCTTACTACCTACTAGGCCAGATCAAGGGGCTTAGAGCTCTCATTTCTTTTAACCCTTCTTAAATTCCTGCCAAATGGGAATGATCACTATTTACAGATTAAGAATCTGCAGCTTTGAGGGGTTCTGGAACTCCCCCTAAATGACACAGCTGGTAAGTGGTACAAATATCAGCAAGAAAGATCTCTGAATGTGAAAAACAATATCAGAAAATCAACAGGATCACGTTTATGCGCATTCTCTCACGGTGGCATCTCTGAAAGCCCAGTCTCACCTTTGGAGACAAACTTTCTACTGGCTTGACGACTGATCTGGAGATAGATGTGTGACAGACGTCAGGCATTGTGGGGTGACGGAGGGGGTGCAAAAAAGATGTGTACAACGCCATCACGTTCAGGCAAAGAACGCCAAAACACGGTGTTTGAGGCCATTTAGCATTAGGAACAGCCTCAAATCCCCCACAGCTATCACTTTAGAAAAACACAACCATCGAGACAAAGCTAGAAGAGATGAGCATATGCTGTTTAAGTATTTACTTTATAAAAATGTCCAGTAACATGGCTAATATGTTTTCCTAAGTGTCAATTACAGGTAAGTAATCTTGCTATATGGAAAAGAATCCCTCAGCCCAAGTAGCTGGTTCCGCACTAACACTGTAGGAGAGAGGACAGATGCCCCAGAGGTGAACGCAGGGACGTTAAGAGGGATCATCTTAGTCAAGTGAGGTTGGCACAGGGCAGACCTGTGCTGTGCCACTTGTGATACTTTGTTTCTCGCCCCAAGGGAGAACGACGGAGTCCCCAACACCTCTTCAGACCTCGCCACACCCTGGACGGAGCCAAGATGAGGGCGTCCGTCCGCATGACCCGGTACTTGGAGTCCTGGGGGGCGGCCAAGCCCTTTGCACACCTACACCACAGGGACAGCATGACCACGGAGAACGGCAAGATCAGCACCACGGTACGTCCTCGCCGCGCCTCCACAGTACCTGAGCACTGGGGAAAAGCGAGTTCCCCCAAACAAAAGGCTGCCAAAACGACTCTTGTCTGCCGCGAAGCAAGCTTACCGTCTTGTCCTTGTAGGAGAGGCCCTTATAAACAACTGTCAGGGTGTGAAGGAGCCCCAAGCCCACATTGCCAAGGGTTCTAACCTAAAGTGATTTTTGCATTATAATTTTATAACCCAAGACAGTGTTATTTACAACTGATAGTAACAACTGAATATAACTGAACTATTTTTTCATCGAGTTTTTTTTCTATCGTTAAGTAGAAAGGCTTGAGGATCTTAGTAAAAAGACAAATAAAGGCATGATGTCCTTGGAGTTTGTGTAGCATCATCAAGACCGTCTCTTCATGGCCCCAGGGTTAAGGCTCTGTGGGCAGCATTGTACGTTCTATTGTCCTGGTTCCTTGTTTACATCACTCCAGCTTCCTGTGTGTAACAAAGTGTGGAAGCTCTTTACACCAGGGACATATGCAATAGGATGGTTGAAATGGAGATAGAAAATTGAAAGACCCACAGGAGGACGGAAAAGTGAATACAGCTAAGTACTTAAAATAATCCCTCTGGTATTGTTAGATTCTAAAACTACCTCTGAGTAAAATTTCATGTGTAATGGCATTAACTGTATTAGGGGTGCAGTTGAGATAAAAAGGAAAATTTAATGTTACATAATTCTCTTTGGCTGATGAGAAGGAGCCTGCCAGGTTGCCAGGTAAGGGTGAAGTTTTCTGGCTGCCCTGTGCTGCCACCCCTCCCAGGGTCTCACAGTGACACCCCAGCCCCAGCAGGTAGGGGCTCGGCACTCTTGTTTGGGCTTACTTATATCTCTCCTCCTAACTTCCTTTGATCTTTTCTCAACTAAAAAACAAATATGATCCGATGGAACACCATGATCCATCAGACAGTCAACGAAGGAGACCCACCAGGAAAAGTCCTGGAGTTTCATTCTGGTGGGTGGAGAGAGTCCATAAGTAGGAAAACAAATCAAGGAACAGGATGGTGTCAGGTGTGATGAGGGCCGGGAGGGAGATAAAATTGAGTGATGTCTTCTGGGTAGGACAGCTGGGGGAGGCTCAGAGGGAGAGAGAGAGGAACCAACTGGGAGAAGAGTAGCAGAAGGACAGATTCAGTGACCCTAAGAAGGAAATGAATGTGGTGCCTTTTGGGGGCAGAGAAGAGGCTGGTATGGCTGGAGCGCAGGGTGATGCCCTCCTGTGCTGAGACTGTAGCGGTGGAAGCAGCGAGATGCAAACCCAGGGTCTAATTTGAAAGTAGAGCAAGTGAGACTCCGTGGTGGACTGGATGTGCCTGCAAGTGAGGAGCAGAGGGGTGTCCACGCTTTCGAGGCTGCACAGCTGGGAAACTGCGGATGCCCTTAATCGAAATCACAAATACAAGGGGGAAATCGGGTTATTTAAGATGGAAACAATTCAGACTTTACTAACGAACAATTTCAAAGCAATATGCCTTTTTGATATCGGAGTGCAGCGAGGAAGTAAGCAGCTGGACGTGCAAGTCCAGAACTCAGGGGACAGGACCGGGCTGGAGATGCGAGTGTGAGCTGTCGGGCTGTGGACGGCACCCGAAGCTGAGGAACTGATGAAATCTCAAGGATAGAGCAATCCAAGGGGCATCTGGGGCCGTCCAGCATTTAGACCTGTTGGAGGAAAAGCATCCTGGGGCTCTAGTATTTAATGGACAATGAAAGCCTGTGCTTCTATCACTCGTAGGAAAAATGATAATAATTTGACTAATTTGTCCCAGGGCAGCATTTATTGTTAGTGCTATGGCTGATAACTACATCCCTCAGTGGGATTTATTATATACCAGCCATCGGTTGGTTGCTTGGTTGGCTGGTTTTTAAGAAATAAGAATCATGTATGAGTATTTGAATGTGATTTTCTGTGCTGTTTCTCATGTACACCCATGGGGAAAAAGTCTTACTTTTCCAGAGGTGTTGTTGTTATTGTTTATTTCTTACCAACCTTTATTGTCTTGAGACTTAAGAGTGGCTGTATCCTTTATTATGGGAGTAAGGGACCACAGGAATGATTTCTGCCTGACTTTAATCTGTTGTTGTGAAGATGCCTTATTCACGGTAAAGCTGGAACTGGTTAATGCTTTGAGCTTCAGGAAGTTGTTTATAAAAACCAAAGAACATTTTGAAAAACTCACTTTTCATAACCGCTCGTCCCACCTGTCACAGGTTCAAAGCCAGGTTTGTGCTGCCTTAGCAGCGATACAGCATATCTTAAGAAAGCCTCAAGGCTTTGGTTGGTGCATTAAGCCCAAACTGCTTATACTTTGCTGTGTCTCTTACTCACTTTCAGAAAGACCCATCAGAACTTTTATTGACATATTCCAAGGTTGAACAATTGACTTTGCCCAAACTTATTTCTTATATCTAATCCCCTATGCAGAATTCCATTGACTCTGCATTCAACATTGATAGAGCTGATGAATAATGCATTATTTTACTATCTGTAATAAAACAAGGAGTTCAATTACTTTAAAAAAAAAAAACCCTTACCTTTCCCTCGGCTAAATACATTTCCTAATCTAACCTTGCAGATCAAAGCAGCAAACAAAAGTTTCTTCTTTGGAGCTGCTTTGCTCCAACTGTTATTTTCATTCCCATCACAAATGTATAAAAGTGATTTTTTTAAGTCTATTATTGAACGTTTGACAGTGGGATCTCCACTAATAAACCCTGACCAGTGCCTCCCTCCCATTCCTCTATTGGGAACCACGCACATACATGTGTTGATTTCTTCTTTTTCTCCAATGATTCATGATTTCACATACTTAACTGGTGGTACCATTTCTCAGTAGCCCAATTCATGGAGAGGATTGGCTATAGATTTTGTGGTTATATTCGTGTTTTAAAGCATTTTCTAATATTTGTCTGATACCAAAGTCCATTTTCACGTGATTGTAAGTGGCTGACAGTAACTCTAATACCAATCCTCTGAAGTCCGTTGTTTGAAATCAAATCTGAAAACACTGCACGACAATCCTGATACTTCCAACATCCAGAGTTTATAGATTACACCAACATTCTAAATATAAACTGAGCTTGTAATCTTGATTTACATTTATGATTAAGTGCTTTCTCTCCACATGGGTAATTATTTGTTATCTAAATGATACTTTTTAGGATAAAAAAAGAAATATGTTTACATCATTATCATTACAACATTCTTCTTGAAACAGACTTTTGATAACTAATAACCTTTTTTTTATTCAATATAGGATGTACCAATGGGTCAGCATAATTTTCAAAACCGCACCTTAAGGTATGGTATATCTTTGACTATCTAATTTTTAAAGCATTATTGCTTTTTATTCATTTCTGAAAGTAATTATCATCAATTATAGTAATTTCAAAGTATACTTCCTTTAAAAGAGCAGCTCCTTGTGAAAAGCCCTCTTACATTGCTTTCAGCCTCTAAAAATAGGATTATTGGGGTCTGGTTATTAGTATTAAGGGAGAGAAAAGGAAAACACCATCTGGTAGTCATTTTAGAACATTAAATTGTTTACTTAAATTGACTCTTCTTAATATTAATGTGTAGTAAAATATTGAATTTTCTTAAAATGAATATGTTGCTTAAAATTACATTTTTATGTTGAATCCTAAAGATAAAAGCGAGATAAGTCTGGGCTTTCTATTTATTTCTGAAATAAAGGGCTGTACAAACTGCCCAGAAAAGAGAAAATCTTCCCACAACTCCATGTGCCCCTGTCACCAGCACTAACCCTTTCCCCACGCCCCTCTCGCTTTGAGCTCAGAGTTTTAATTTAATATTGGTTTGGGGGTCAACCAAACCAATATTAAGACATTAGGATAAATAATGCAAAGATTGGCCCCAGAGTTCAGGCAGCTTTCTTTCTCCACACAGGGGTCTGTTAATTGGAGATACTGATAGTTTTATAGAAAATAAAGAAAAATATGAGATCCAATATATTTCCTTGTAGAAAATGCATTATATCCAAGCAAAAACTAAACACAGTTAGTCGTTCCCTGCCAAAGCATGGCAATAGTGCACGTTATCCCAGAATTCTTCCACGTGACTTTATTTGTGTAACAAGCTCTAATTTGTACGTTGTGCAAAATTTGAAATTTTAGCATTGAGATATATACTTATAGTCCTTATGCTATAAGGATAATTGGGTTCTTGGGCTTCTCAAGGATATTTTTAAGTGGTATATGACATTTTAAAGAGAACTTAAGCTAATTTTAGAAATATTACGGACCCCCAAGATACCTTACGGAGCCATGACACTTAATGTCAATAAGACACTAACACATCTATGAGCAACTGTGCATGGAAATTTCATGGACTTCCTTTCACATTACATTCAATATCTCTTCTGTTATCTCTCTCCCTTCCTGCAAGTCTGCTTCAAGACTCTGTTGATTGAAATTACAATGGGAAATGCCTTGGGAAGCCCCAGTATTACTGGGGCAGTGTCTTCTGGGATGAGTGCTGTCTGAAAGATAATGATAATAAGCTGTCCTTTGTATCCGTACTAGATCATAGAAAATCTGATTTCATCCTGGCAGCATTATGGTGAGGTAAAATCTATTGCCATTGCCATTTTAGAAGGGGAGAAACTGAGGCACCATGGTTAGGAGAATGCCCAGAGTCACCTGGCTAGGGTGGGGGACGAGGCCAGGATTTGTGACCAGGCTCTGTGACCGCAAAGCCTGTGTCACTAACAGCTCTTCTGTCTTCCCTGCTTTACGAAAGGGCTCTTCCATTGTTATTCCACTCTTCTCTGTAGTTATTGATCTTTGGCAGCCTTATGGCCTCAAGGGGAGAATCTCCTTTTGATCAGACTCACCCAGGCTGCCCTGGCACTCCCTGGCTTTGTAAATGGACTGCCCTATAATGCCTGTCTGAGCCTCCAGCGTGGCCCGTGGGCTGGTGCCATGTGACCTTTCCATGCCTCCTCAGATATCACAGCCCAGGCGAGGTGGCAGGACAGGTCTGGGGTGGGAGCTGGGGAGAAAGAATGGAGACAAACTGGAAGGAGGGATTGGAGGCCCAGAGCAATGGGAAGGTGGGGTGGGGCCAGGCGGCAGGAGCAAATTCAGGACAGCAGGGCTGATCGTCAGAGGGACGAAGTCCTGGTGGTGAATCGGCAACTCCTGGTGGGTAGGTTTTCAGCCCCAGGGTACCTTGTCTTCTCCAGAGCAGAGGTCTCAAAGCCACAGAGATAAGAAAACGGTCTGTGTGTGCAGGCATTACCTAAGCTAATCCTATAACAGATTAACAAAGGCAATATCATTGTTAACCCTGGAAATAATGTTGAAGAATCAGATTTTCTTACGAGCCTCAAGATGCTTACCCTGTTCTTTCTTAGACTTTGTGAGGCTCTTCAAAAAATAAATCCACCCAAAAGAGCACAAAACATTCTATGATAAAGACATCTGCACTCGAATGTTTATGGCAGCACAATTCACTACTGCAAGGATGTGGAAACAACCCAAGTGCCCATCAATCCATGAGTGGATTATTAAAATTTGGTATATGTACACAATGGAATATTACTCAATCATAAGAAACGACAGTGATCTAGAACCTCTTATAGTTTCCTGGATTAAACTTAAGCCCATTATCCAAAGCGAGGCACCACAAGATCAGAAGAACGGGATCCATTTGTACTCACCATCAAATTGGTACTAACTGATCAACACTAGGTTGATCACATGGCAGTAATACTCTCCAGGGATTAGGGGAACAGGGGGGTAAACCCGCAACCAAAGGACACGGGGGGAGCATTGTAGGGGGAAGAGCATGCCTTTAACCCTCGCTTGGGTGAGGCAAAGACATAAAGTGTAACCATAATGTTTGTACCCTCATAATACCCTGAAATAAAATAAAATAAAATAAAATAAATCCACCAAATTGAATTCAAGAAACTTGGCCAGGTGCAGTGGCTTACACTTGTCATTTCAGAGCTTTGGGAGGCCGAGGCAGGAGGATTACTTGAGGCCAGGATTTTAAACCAGCCTGGGCAACATAGTGAGACCCTGTCTCTATAAAAATAAAAAAAATTAGCTGGGCGTGGTGTCGAGCCCCTGTGGTTCCAGCTACTCAGGAGTCTGAGAGAGGAGGATTGCTTGAGCCCAGGAGTTTGAGGTTACAGTGAACAGTGATCGTGCCATTGCATTCCAGCCTGGGTAACAGAACAAGACCCTGTCTCTTAAAGAAAAAAACAAACAAAACAAAACAAACAAACAAAAATCCTCTCAAGTTTAGAACTGGGACTAAAAAAAGTTAATTTGCTTTCTTCAGAAAACTTGAAATTTAGTATGCTAAATTTCTTAAAAACCTCTTAATTCAGTTGGCTTGATATCTGTGGGTGGATCACTTAATATCATTCTGTTTTTTAAACCAAGACTGCCCTTGGCCTGTTTGAAGAAGCCAGGACCCGAAGGCACAAACCCATAAACACAGGATGCTGGAATTGGAGAAACCATCCATCTTACTAACGATAATCCTGTGAGATTTAATTACAGATAAATATGACATTGCATATTTAATGCTATTATTATCTATATCTAGAGGCAATTCTGAGCTCAGAAAAGTGTGATTTTTTGTTCCAGATTAGAAGGCCTATTCAATTAAAAATTTAACCAACCGGAACACACAGAACGTGTGCCTGAACCAGGATGCGGCGCAGACTTGCTCAGGCCATTGGGAGGGGCTAGGCTGAGCTTTCACTCTTGGAGCAGATGTTTAATTTTTAAATTGGTTTTCTCCTTTACAGCATTCTCATGCAAATTGCCAGATTAATCTTGGGGAGCTCTTATTATTTGGCATAATGTATTTAGAAAGCATCTACTATTAAGGCTAAGGATTATTTCCTCCTGAGACCAAGTGAGATGGTCAGCCAGTATAAGTGGGATTTTCTGTGAATAGCGCTGTCTAAAGCGGAGGAACATTTAAATACGTACAATTAAGCTTTGATATACCTAAAAGAAGGCTTAGATTCTGCAAGTTCTTGAAAACTGACCAAGGAAAACACGAAAAAGGAAGACTATTTTGTCAACCAAACCAAATTTTTACAGGGGGATTTCCAGAAGCAATGTGTTCTGTCATGAAGTAAAACTTACGAAGGCACCAAGTCAAGGACTAATGCATCTCTTAAAGGAGAACGTTCTTTTGTCTCAAACACCAAGTCCATATTTTTAGTGTTGCCTAGTAATTGCCTGGTAAATTCTACGCTGATTGAGCGGTAAGGCAGCATCTTTACTGTAGCAAAATCTCTACTCAGTTCACGCAATCGACACAGGGGCTATAGAGAAAAGGCTGCTTATAGACTATTATTTCTTCTTTCTTTTTTCACTCAATTAACAGATTCAAACAGAGGTTTTAGCATCGTAGAAAAACAGGTTCACAGACACAGAAGGACAAAATTTGCACGTTTTCATTCATGTTTGAGAGCTTAAAAAGTTGATCTCATGGAGGTGGAAGGTAGAATGACAGGAACCAGAGGCTGGGAGGGGTGTGTGGGCGGGAGAGGAGGATGAAGAATGGCTGGTTAATGGGCACAAATATGCCTTAGATAGCAGGAATAAATCCTAATGTTCAATAGCAAAGTGGGGTGACTATAGCTAGCAACAACGTATTGTGTATTTTAAAATAGCTGAAAGAGAGAACTTGAAATGCTCTGAGCACACAGAAACGATAAATACTCAAGGCATTGGATATCCCAAGTAACCTGACTTGATCATTACACATTCTATGCATGCAACAAAATATCACATGTACCCCCAAATATGTAAAATATTATGTATTAATAAAAATAGACCTAATATTTACTTTAGTAATAATCTTCTTACCCATAATATTTCCTTTTTCGTATAGAACCAAGTCACAAAAGAAAAGATTTGAAGAAGAATTGAATGAAAGAATGATTCAAGCAATTGATGGAATCAATGCACAAAAGTGAGTACTTTTTCATCTTAAATTATCATTCAACTCTTATTTCAAACCCTATTATTTAGAAATAATGTCATATTTTCAAAAAGTATTTTACCACAGGCTCT